TATTATTATTATTATTATTATTATTATTATTATTATTATTATTATTATTTAGCATTAATTACATTACAATGATAGTTTGGACAAGTTCAATAACGCCGGAATGGTATATTAGGCCTATTTATTTCATAATATTTCTCTTATGCGCTCTATTTTTCATTTCATGCTTCAATTTTGTCCCATTTTCCCCAAAAAAATTTCAGTCCATGTCTGCAGTATGTGAAGCGTGACAGTTGTGTCAGCCTGATCCTAGGCCTAGTTTAAGGAGGGGCCTAGCTAGGTAAGACCTCAGCCTGTAGTTAGGCCTATAGTTTATCCTCTTTCTCTCTAGCCTTTGGTATAACTGTACCTATCTACACTGTATAACAGGAGGTACTAGCTGTTGTTGTTGTAGATAATATACTAACATTTAATAACATCCAAGAAGGTCACAGTTAGTTACACAGTGACGTACATCACGTAAGTCCGTGAAATATCATAGGCCTACCGTAGGTAAACATAGAAAGAGCAATAATAGTAAAACTCGAGCGTCACGACATTGCGAAGTGTCTGCTCTTGTTCCTCGTATCGTACTCACTCGAGTCAATCCGAGATGGCCCGAGTGAAGTTTCATGCAAATGTTTCGTACGGAAAAAACCCCGGTACGGTCAGAAAAGGTGCTTGCATCGGGACCAATGAAAAGTACGCTTCATGCCACGTGATCAAATGTCAGATTTTGAACTGACGTGAAAAATAATAGCGGATCCAGTGAAGTGTGCTAGCAGTAACTGCTGGCAAATTAATCATCAAACAAATACAAAGTAACGGCTACAGTATTTGAAATTCACTGCATACTCTATTTACGAAACAGCTTTACTACTGTAAGTTCAATATTTTTCTGTTTAATGTTCTTGTATACCAATCATACGAACATTTTCTTTTATAATTATTGATTGGTGATGCTAGTTTGAGGACGATACAGTTCATGCATGGGCAAGTTAGCCTCAGTCAGGCCGTAGCCTAGCGCTAGCCTTGGCTGGGCTAAACAAACCAGTGACGGAGGAGGGCTTGTTGTAACGGTGTTGTAGCTAGCCTACACCTGCTGACCAGTTGTCTTGACGGACTTGACTTTCCTGCTGATATGGGCATGTCGCATGAAATTTATTGAGCCTAGGCTAGTTAAGTTAGTAGTTAGTCTAAAAACTAAATTCAAAAAGGAGAATACTTTTTTTTGTGCAAAGTAAAACAGTAAGTAGGCCTAGGCCTAGCCCTAGGCTAGGGTAGGCTTAGTTAGGACTCGGAGGCCCAGCCTAGCTAGGCTATGCCTAGGCCTAGTAGTACTAGGGTTAGCCTAGGCTAAGGCCTAAGTAAGCTAGCCTAGGCTAGGGACTAGCCTACTATTTGTCCGTGTCATGATCCATCTCACTCCAGCACCCAGATAAGTAAGACATGTATTCTTGTTCATGATTGCTAAATTCTTTTTTTATGATGCTTTTTTCAGTCTGCTGCACAAGAAATAATAACCTATGTGAAGATTACAGTAGGGGCAGGCTAGGCTAGGCCTTGAAATCCATTACCACATTTAAAATATAAGTGCTTATTTCCTTGCAAAATTTGACGAAACCTAGAACATATTAGCCCATGTCTTCATATAGCCTATAAACCAATGTTTTATTTTGCACAGTATTTTTCTGATGATTTTCTGTGCAAATCTTAGTTAAAATTTTGATGTACAGTATGCCCCTCACAAATAACATAAATTACACTGTGAGTCTACTGTCTCAACAAAAGAGCGTTTATAGTGTGAAATTTATTTTGCATTTTTATTTTCAGAATAAAGTGCATGTCTATGCCTTATTATTATCTTTATCATTTTTCTTTCATTTTAATTAAAGGTCCCATGTCTCCCAGAAATTAAAACGATCTCACATACTTCAGCGAGCAGATAAATATCATCTGGCAACTAATCCAACGCCCACAAATTTATGATATTTGCATGTTTTTACTATACAATTGTTTCCCTGAAGCCATCACGTGAGGGAAATCGCCATACGCAGCAAAATAAAGATTTGGATGCGTTTCCAACTTGGCGCCCTTGGATTGATGAAATCTAAAAGCACAGTAATAATGTTGGGGTGGAAGGCTATGAAATTAGCTTCAAGGCTGGGTGGCTCCGGCCACCATAACTACATCCCTGCCCATACTGTTAGCGTGAACCAAAGATCTTATAAACACAAGATAGCGTTCTCCGCGATTTACGCGTGCAAATTCTGTAATAAGGCATGAATGGCGCCCTCTTGCTAAATTGGAAACTTTTGACCTTTGACCGACGGCGATTTTTTTTTCCGTACGAAACTAAGTCCATAAGTTCAGGCAAGTGAATAAATACTGTACCAGTGACATACACCAGACTGTAATAACACCTTTTGTAATCTTGCCTACTGTATTAAAAATGATATTGGTCACATAAAATAAGCCTCCTAATGAGACATAAGAAATCTACAGCTGCCATGCATTAATACGTTGCTGCCAGCGACGAGTATGCTCGCCCACAGGGTGTTGCTGAGGGCGCCACGGACTATCATACTCTTAAAAATCAGGGAAACATTCTAGGGTTTAAACTTGTTTGTATACATTGTAGAACCACAGACTCAACGGCTGGTTGTTTAGGGAAGATACACCTATACAATAACTTACAAACGGCATGTGTGTTGTGTTGCCGGTAGTACACTCGAGTGGCACAAGTGAGGCCACCCTTTAACATGTACCAACCCATGCAATAAGCGGAAGAGATAACTTGCAATTGGTATAGATAATAAAAAGTGCTATCACAGTGCTGTTGATGAGTTTACTCCCCTCCCCCTTCCCCCACCCAATATTTTCCTGCCAATATTAGACACATTTTGATAATATGACTAGATAAAATTTCAAAGAGTGTATGTTTGTACATGTAAACTTGTTTTGGCACATGGGAAAGAACCTTAAGGAAAGGTCTGGCAGTCAACATGTAAATATCATAGTTCCATCCTGAAATTGGTTAAGCACACTTGCTTTTAGCTTCAGATAATATTAAATATTTAAAAAGAAAACGTTTAATTTAGGTAGTACAGTACGTAGTAGTATTGTTACAGCCGTCTGAAATCAATTCTTAATTCTGATTGGCTGTTATTGTTCTTGTCCATTTCATACATAACATTCAATCATAATTAGGAATTGGTCTAGACTGGCGTAACAATTTAGCTACCTTTTAGTTTAATAATGTAATTTCAAGTTAACATTTTTAACGCCAAATAAAATTAATTGTTAGTTTTACGTCCGGGATTTGAAACTTTTTTTTTTCGGTGAGGGTACAGTATTTACTATTAGCTTTACTATCCTATACTAATGGTTAACAGGAGCCCGGTAAATATATATATTTTTAAATAAAATGAACCTTTTTGTATTTCTGCTATTTATGTTCCCACCTCTTCTTTTGCTTGACATCATTCAGATAGTCATTAATTTTATTGTCCATGGAAAAATGAATGGTTTTTTTTTTTGTGAAAAATATCAAATAGTAAATTTTTTCATGAGCCTCCAAAACTTCATGAGGGCGGGGACGTGAAAGTAGCAATTAATTTTATTTTGCCGAATGGAAGCATAAATTGAACAACTACATAGTACAGTTGCACTATCAGTAGGCTAGTGATCACAGACATTCAGATGCTTAACATTAACAAGCAAGACCTTCAGTGGAATGACAATAGCTGTGTAGCCTGGGATGACTCACCACTGTAGCTGCTTGCTTTATCATGTCAATTTAAAGTGATTTATTTGTGATGAGATTGTTGTGACTGTTCCAAGAACCATCTTTTGTACAGTATGCTGATCTAAGCATAGTAAATCAATAAGTGTACCCTGCTCATTAGTAGTTTATTAACCCCTATCTTAAAGTAATTATTTGGAATTTTATCACAAACACACAATAATTAAATGCATTTTAATTAAATTATTGTTTTCAAGATGTCAATAATAATTAATATTTATAATATTAGTAATTGTAATCGTTCAAAATATTTACCTAGAAGTATAATTTAATGCGTTTTTGACGATAATATTATAAATTATTAATAATATTAAAATGCAATGCAAAAGCATTCATTTTTATAACAATTTACAAAGTTATGATCAGGCATGAGAGATTCATATTGACGGACCGTGTCCTCGCTAGGTAAACCCACTTTTGGTTTGTTTCAGACTATATAGTACACCTTGTCTAATTTAATACTATCTAAAAAATATTTGATACAAATTTGTGACATTTATATTTGCGGAAGGCCTAATACCCAATTTACACGTACAAAAATCTACCAAAATGTAACAAATTCTTACATTTGCCCAAGTGTGTGAATGCACATCCTTGTAAAACAAATGTAACATCCGTGTAATAGCTCGGTAATCTTTACCGACATCAGCGAGGTCTGTAAAGATTACCGAGATGTTACATGACAATGACTGCGCATGCCCAGGAATTTTAATCGAATCGACATGTCCTAGCCAGCTGTGTGGCGCGAATTATTTCAAAACAAACCAAGCCTAATTTCTAGCCGGCCTAGGATAATTGCTTATTATATGTACTGCAACATTCAGAATGGAGGAATTATTTTTATTAGTGGTTATTGATGAAAAGAGGAGAAGAAAATCAAACAACAAACATCGTGATTCTAGTGTCGTTAGGATAATCAAATGACTTCAGAAATTTCGCCGACAGCTTTTTACTATGCTGATGAATTTGATTTCTTTGAACATTTGCTGCAACAGCAAGTAAAGTAGCCTAGCCTAGGCCTAGCTTGTTCGATTATCGGTCGATCTTAATATAATAAATATATACTGCCTAAAACCCTCCTTTTCTAGACTCTCGTAAACTTAGGATATAAAGCCTATTTGAATGTGCCTCTCCTGACCTAGGCTAGGCTAGACTGCGTGTGTGTTGCTCACGGACTCGTTGCTAACAAGAGGAGTCAACCAAGCATTTCTAATGACTTCTTTACAAGGATTTTACATGGATGGAAATTGTACGTGTGAATACGACTAATCTCAGTAGGAATATCTGGGGAGATATCCTGGTAACAATTTGGTACATTTTGTTACATTTATTCTACGTGCGAATCGAGAAAGGCGCAATATTGGTCATTTTGGGGTTTGTCACTGATATCTCTTTAGTTAAGACATAGGCATTTTTTGATTTTTTTCCAAAAAACCAAGCTATGTTGATGATATTGATGCTATTTTTGATAGTTGCTATTTTATACAAAAAACCAAGCTATATTGATGATATTGATGCTATTTTGGATAGTTACTATTTTATTATTTTCTTCTAAGTACAGCAGTAGGCCTCTGTCTAGTACTCTATACTATATACCAATCTGTTGCTACACTGATATATCAGC